ACCGGAGACCTCTTATGGTCTCAAAACCTGTATCTACTTGGAGAGGCCCTTTATTCACCTTAGATACTAAACTTGGTTAATATAATCCTATAATTAGACCAACTGTCTAGTAAAAACTGAGACCTATTTACAGTCTCAATATAATCCAAAGTCCTTACACCTTTCCCATCTGGATACAGACTTACTGGAACCAAAGGGGCTATATGACAACAATGCCAGTAAGACACAAAAGGCTACCCAATGGTTTACAGTAACTCTACCGGTACCAAGCCGAAAGGGTTAATCGAATTTCTTTTTTAACTTCAGTCTTTCAATTCGCTCACCACATCAATTGATGGGAGTTCTGTTTAGCAAATAACGACAGACAGGAAAGAGTGCTTCCACTAAGTTCCTCAATGAGTATATTTTCAGGGCTAGTATTTATACACAGTTCGTCACTAAGCAGATTTATCGCCTTGTAGTTAAGAAGCAGTGGCAGTAGAAGATAAGCATTTGGATAAAGACAAAAATGGGTTGCAAGTGAGTATTCTGAGGACGGACAGCAGCTAAAATAGCCTGCCCTTCGGTGGGTCCCCGCTCAGAACTCAAGCTGGTTTTAGCTCAACTTGTGCCATTACAGAGAGAATATATCTGAAGCATATCAGACTGGTCCCACCCATACGGGCAGTCCAGATCCGAAATGCCAGCAAGTTCTCTCTGCACGAGAGATACAGCAACCCCAGACGATCGTTTCAGCCTTGTTAGGCATCGTCAGTGAGGCATAGCTGATATCTCTCTAGGCACCGTGAGCAAGGGGTCCACGTCTGGATTACCCTTTAATCAGTCAGCACTAATGATTATAAACCTTATCTAAGCATAAAATACATATGAACAAGAAAAGTTAACTACTTCATATCCTTTCACACTGTTTTCTGAATATAACAGTACCCACATGTACCATTATTTCAGATTTTTTTCCGATAAGTCACAGGGCGAAATATATTAGATGCCCTTTCAGCTTGTAAGTTTGGCAAAGTGATTTTCTGGGCCTATGTTGCTTTTCAGAGAGTATGGCCAGGGCTGCCATCAGAAATTTTGGGGCCCCTGACAAAGTTCAAAGTGTGGGCCCCCTGGGCCGCCCCCGAGGGCCCATTCTGAGTCCGCCCACAAGGATGCTCTGTGTGGTGTGTAAAATGGATACAGATTGTACATTTGTATAATGGATGTAGTTTTGTGTGTTTTAGATTAAGTGTGGGTTTGTGTAGTGAATGCAGAGTGTTTGTGTTGTGGTTTTAGTGTGTGTGGTGAATGCAGTATGTGTTTGTGTTGTGGTTTTAGTGTGTGTATTGTGAATGCAGTGTGTTTTTGTGTTGTGGCTTTAGTGTGTGTATGGAGAATGTAGTGTGTGTTTGTGTTGTGATTTTAGTGTGTGAATGGTGAATGCAGTGTTTGTTTTTCTTGTGGTTTTAGTGTGTGTATGATGAATGCAGTGTGTGTGTTGTGGTTTTAGAGTGTGTATAGTAAATGCAGTGTTTGTATTGTAGTTTTAGTGTGCGTATGGTGAATGCAGTGCGTGTGTTGTGGTTTTAGTGTGTGTATGGTGCATGCAGTGCGTGTTTGTGTTGTGGTTTTAGTGTGTGTATGGTGAATGCAGTGTGTGTGTTGTAGTTTTAGTGTGTGTATGGTGAATGCAGTGCATGTTTGTGTTGTGGTTTAATGTGTGTATGGTGTAAGGATATGAAATAGTTAACTCTTTGTTTTATATGCTTTAAAATAATGTTTGAAATAATTATGCTGACCTTGGCAGATGTATTCTGTAACATGCTTTGAGAGGCCTCCCTTATACAGGATATATGACCTCACTCGACCTCAGGATGTTCCTAAATGCTTATCTTTTAATGTCAGACAAGTATGTACTATTAACTACAAGGAAACGATAAATCTCCCCTGGGTGGGGAGCCAGAAATATGGGAAATAATCAGTCTATTTCTTACCCTTTACCCCACCCAGGGGAGTCATGTCTAAATTATGTTACTAGAATAGAAGCACAAGGAGGATTTCTTACAATCCCCTTTGTGTCAAATTTAGCAGGATGGACAGAGACTATGAAGTCATCTGATCCTTTTCCCAGGTGTGGGGCTAATGATGATTTCCATATGAATATGATTCGAGGATTGTGTTTGGGAGATAGGAAGTCATGGCCATGGTATGGTCCTGATCCAGATTGGGATAAGGAATATATGAAAGCAGGAGGTGAAAATTGGTTGCAGATAGCCCCTCATTGGTTTCCTTGTAGTGTAACAGGAAAGGTTTTAAAGGGAGCTAATAAAGACCTGGCTAAGAGAAAGGGAACTGTTAACAGTAATACCATCCACTTTCCCATAGAAGCCCCTCCTGAGAATCCATATCCACCACCAATTGTGCCCCTTACCCAGTCAGCCCCCGGCCATGCCCAACCACAACCTCCACCTCCATATAAAGCAATGTATCCTGCTGTACCTAATGCCCTCTCAGAGGATATTATAGAAGATATTTGTATTGCTGCAGCTGTTAATTCACAATCACAGCAATTACAGGAATCATCATCTACACCAGATTCTGATATAAAATATCCACCGCCACCTCCTGGTACAATTAAATTAACAGTACAAACGGGAGTTAAACTTAAAAGTGGCAAGGTGTTAAAATCATATGTACATAAGCAAGGTGATGATGATGTAGAGATGCCAGAATCAGAAGGTGCTGATCTTACTGCCCCGTTCATGACTGTTGGTAATCAGTTAATAATGAAACCCATTAATCACTCAGTGACATTATTCAAGGTGCCCCAAACCCCCGTACTAATCCCTCTGCACGCCTAACGTATCTGAAAAGAATGTGCTTAGGACAGAACATGACACAGATAGACATACAGTTAATTATAAATGGAATATTAGGGTATGACTCAGATTCTGGTTGGGATTGGTCTAGGGTACCCTCTATCAGTGAGACAGACAACGGTACTGGAGTTGGAGAGGCTGGTAGTGATGGTGTTTAGCTGAAATGTTGAGATTATGGAAGAATAAGCAGTCTATATCCACTGCTTTGGCATGTAAGCAAGGTGCAAAGGAAGAGATTGGTATTTTTGTAAAGAGATTTTACAAGTGTTGGAAGGATGAGGCAGGTTTGAAGTCTGAAGATGATATGGATCTCCTCAAAATACAGTCATGCCTTGGTAATATGTTGCCATAGTATTCTTTGCTTGTGAAACAGTTGATTTAAGACTGGGCCAATTTGGGTGGCTCAGATTTTCTTACCAAGGTTATAGAGAAGGAAAATGCAGGTTGTTTTGACTTAAGAAAAGATTCAGGAAGTAAGGTTGCTTATTATGCTCAGGGACTGCAACACTGTCCACCTACACAGGCCCGAGAGAGAGGATGGGATGGAGCACATAGAGCCCGTGGTAGGGGTGGTCAAAGGGGGTGGAGACAGGGAAATCAGGGTTATAGCGGCAGGGTTAACCAAGGAGGAATGGACACTGGAAAGCATGGCCACTGGAAACCCCAGCCGCCCCAACAATCCCATAATTCTCAAAATACGCCTGGTAGGCAAGAACAACACCAGGCCCACTCCCAACACCACTGGCCAGCACTTCCCCCTCCCCCCTCGCTCCAGCAAACCCAAACTGCACTAGGGCCATTCACAGGTACCACTGACCAGCACACCCATCACACCCCATGGCCCCAATAGGGCTGCCTTGAAGGTGACACTCCAACTTTTCCACTTTTGTCCTCTACTAATGATGATCAGCTTTTTTGCATTCTGGTCATAGAAGGTAGATCCTTGCCATTTTTGGTAGATACTGGAGCTACGTGTTCCAGTCTCTGTGACACCTATTATCAGGGGACAAGGGAAAAGTCTATACCTTCATTGGGTATTAATGGAGTGTCAACACCCACTTTTGTCACACCACCACTGTCTGTTTTCTGTCCTCTTAATGGTTCTTCTACTGTGCACCCTTTTCGTTTAATACCTAAATGTCCTGTTAGTTTGCTGGGAAGGGATCTTCTTGGTATTCTGGGAGCTACCATTACTTGTACGCCCTCTGGTGGTATTGATGTGTCTATGTTGTGTTCTGAAACTATTGATTTGTCTGATGTTCCTTCGTCTGTGTGGGCTTCATCTAAGATAGATGTAGGATTTGTCAACTGCACCCCTTACAAAGCCAAACTAAAATCATATGTAACTCCTATCTACCTTAAACAGTACCCCCTGTCAGAAGCCAAGGTTGATGGAGTTCGCCCCATGATCCAATCTTTTCTAGAGCAGGGAATACTAAAGCCAGTTGTTTCCCCATATAACACACCATGTTGATTTGTTGTTATGTAGCCCTAGCTATGAGGCAATCACTGTGGATACTGTCAGTTTGCTCAAACACTTAGCAACTGTGGGTCACAAGCTTGCAAAACACAAAATGCAATTGTGTAAATCAAAGGTTGATTACTTAGGTTTTGTTCTGGCTTCAGGCACCAGACAATTGAGTCCAAAACGTATTAAGGTCATTCAGAGGATTCCTAAACCCACTACTCGGAAGGAGTTGCTCACCTTCTTCTGCATGATTAATTACTGCCGCCAATGGATCCCTGAATGCTCCCATTATGACTCAATCCTAAGGGAGGCTGTACGTTCTGACAGCCCTGAAAATGTCTGCTGGTCACCAGACATGCTAGCTGCGTATATTGCCCTCAAAGTTGCTATTGTTCAAGCCCCGGCTTTAGGACTACCTGTGTATTGTAAACCATTTCATTCGCATGCTTGGGACAACTGTAAAACCATGGCCGCAGTCCGTGCACAAGAGCACGGAGGCAGTATGCGTCCCATAGCATTCTTTTCCAAAGTAGTTCCAGCTCTGGTACAGGGTATGCCGGCGTGTCTCAGAGCATTGGCAGCATGTGCAATAGCTGTTGAGACTGCTACTACTATCACACTACAATACTCCATACCAGTCACCAGGTCACTCAGCTTATAAAAAATCTCACCACATGACAGCCCAGCGCTTAAGTGGTTATGAAATTCTTCTTCTTAATACCCAGAATCTGTCTATTGTCTATAGTCCTGTTAATTCTGGTCCCATGTCTGTTTTGCATGCTATTCTCACTTCTGCATCTGACTCTGTGTCTATACCATCTGAGCCTCATAATTGCATTGAACAAATACAGATTGCCACATCTCCCAGAGCAGAGCTCTCCTCCACAGCACTTAGTGGCCCGGATGTGACCACTGTCTTTTGGTCTGAAGCAAGAGCCATCCACAATGACGGTACGTACCTCACAGGCTATGCCGTGGGACCTGATAAAATCATTGAAGCTGACACTATTTTCCAGCCGTCTGCACAAGCTGAAGAACTCATTGCTCTCACACGTGCCTGTCAGCTTTTCTCAGGACAGCGAGTGAACATTTACACAGGCTCATTTACATATGCTCATGGGGTAGTGCATGATTTTGGTATGATTTGGAAACAAAGAGGCTTTGTAGGAGCCGATGGAAAAGCCATTTCACACATAAATCTCATCCAATCACTCCTAGATGCTATCCTACTCCCATTTGAAGTAGCTGTTATCCACTGCAAGGCACACACTCTGGGTAGTGATGACATTTCCAGAGGTAATTTGGCTGACAAAGTGGCAAAAGAAGTTGCAGCCAAGACTCTTTACTATGAAATGTTTCCTTCTATGCTCACACCTCCCACATGCCCTACTGACAGTTTGCTTTTGCAGCTCCAAGCCTTTGCAACGCAATCTGACTTTGATTTTTGGATTAAACAAGAGGGGAGGATAGGCATACCTGAAGCCAGCTGCTTTATTTTCATCAGTCAGGCACATGGTCCCGGTCACAAAAGCATAGCAAGCACCATCCAATTCCTCATGAATTCATTTCATATTAGGAATCTCAGGCAGCATGTACAGTCTTTTTTAAGATCGTGTGAACCATGTATGAGAACACATCCTAATATTCCACACAAATCACAGCACGAACATTTGCCCCCTCCAGCTGCTCCTTTTACACACTTACAGATTGATTTTACTCATGCATGCAAAATTGGTAAGAAACAGCAATACTTACTGGTCATAGTTGATCAGTTTAGTAGATAGCCCGAGGCCTTTGTGACATCTAGGGAAGATGCTATGACTGTAGTGAAGATTCTTGCTACTGAAATTATTCCCAGGTATGGCTGCCCTCTGCAGATTAACTCTGATAATGGCCCGGCTTTTGCCAATAACGTTACCCAGGAACTTGCTAAATTCTTGCAAGTTTTCTGGAAGTTTCATATACCCTATCATCCACAGAGTTCAGGGGTAGTTAAAATGATGAATAGGACCATTAAGGAGAAGCTTATGAAAGCTACTGCAGAAACATGGGTAAATTGGACAAAATATCTTCCAGCTATTTTATCTGAGATAAGAATGACTCCCCACAAGGTGACTAAATTATCTCCATTTGAGATTCTGATGGGACGACCTTTTCCCACACCTTGGGCCAGGGAACCGCTTGTTATAATGTCTGGGGATTTACAGCTAACACAAGAACAATATGTACAGGAATAGTTGATAAAACTGAATGGTATATATGGCAATGTTTCTTCGCAGTTTCCCTTACCTTCACAGGAACCTACTCACCCATACCAGCCCGGTGACAAGGTGTATATCTGTCAGCTGAACAGGCCCAAGAAAGGAGGATACCCTTTTGGACCACCTGCTACTGTGATTGCTGTAACCAGAACCACCGTCCTCACAGATTCCCACGACATCTGGATTCACGCATCCCGAGTGAAGCTGTGTCCAAAGAGGGGAACCAAGGAAGAACCACCACTCCTCACTCGGAAACAGAAGAATTTCCCCTTAGTGAAGCATCATGGCTTTCACACCATATGGTAGATTGAGAGGATCATACTAACCTGAGACCAAGATTATGTTTTGCACTATGCTTTCTGGAGTTGTTATACTCCCTCTGATATTGTTCCTTTATGAGTACAAGTCAATGGGAAGTTTGAAACCTGTTTGTTTCTGGAGAAAAGACTGATACGATGGACAATTCTTCAATACCCCCAGCCCAATTAGGCCTTAGCCCCTCATTTAGCATTCGTCACACACACTCCCTCAAGAACCTTTCTTCACCACCTATCTATCAGCATGTAATATGCAACCACTCATTGACTGAACGCATTTGGATGAATTGGACAAATAATAACCCGTATAAGTACCAGTTACCCATATGGAATGTGTCCACAGCTAATGAAACCGATGCATTATGTTTGTTTGAAGGTTCACGGAAAATTGTTAGATCTTATAACGCAGAAATGTGCACAGTTAAGGTTGCTAATTACACTGGTATCTGTGCCACCTTATTTAATATAAGTTCTGATGGTAAGAGAAAACCACCTAAACAGGTTTGGGATATATATTATAAGAAAATTAGTAAGGTTGCATATCAATGTAAACAGACAGGCCTTATTACTTTTAATAATGATTATACAACTGGTACCATTAATTGGAAAAGGGGACAAATGTTAGTCATTATGACACTGCAATTTTTACACCTCATTACTGTCCTTTATCCTCTACCATAGAACCAAAAGTCAACAATGACACACACACACACACACCTATTCCGTCGACATGTGTTAATACAACTGCCTTCATCAAAGGATGTTAAATTAGCTTGTCAATTTAACACATTACCAGTACCAGTTTATGATCTCTTTGCCAGGAATTTAACCTGATGGGCACCCACATACACAGGGGACTATATTTTCCCCAAAGATAATATGACCTATTCCCTTAAACACTGTGTTCTCACTGACAAATGATATGCATGTTGACACTCGTCCCCTATTTACGAACCATGCTTACTCCAAAATGAACTTAAAGGACCACCCTAGGCACCCAGACCACTTCAGCTTAATGAAGTGCTCTGGGTGCCTGGTCCAGCTAGGGTTAACCCATTGTTTTTATAAACATAGCAGTTTCAGAGGAAATGGGTTAATTCAGCCCTAAATCCTCTAGTGGCTGTCTCATTGACAGCCGCTAGAGGCGCTTGCGTGATTCTCACTGTGAAAATCACAGTGAGAGCACGCAAGCGTCCAGAGGAAAGCATTGTAAATGCTTTCCTATGAGACCGGCTGAATGCGCGCGCAGCTCTTGCTGTGCGTGCGCATTCAGCCGAATGGGAGGAGAGGAGGAGGATCGGAGGAGAAGAGCTCCCCGCCCAGCGCTGGCGAAAGGTAAGTTTTAACCCCTTTCCTCTCCCCAGAGCCCGGCGGGAGGGGGTCCCTGAGGGTGGGGGCACCCTCAGGGCACTATAGTGCCAGGAAAATGAGTATGTTTTCCTGGCACTATAGTGGTCCTTTAACAAGTGCATATGGCACATATATCCTGAAAATTATTTTACCATGACTGTAACGACATATCTGTTTGGCAACTAACCTCCCTACAAAGATAATTACTAGTAATACAAGTATTAATCTACCTCTCCCCTTTTCAGAATGTTTGACTAATGTTACCTGGTTAGATCTTAATGACACCCAATATTATTTCAGCGACACAATCACTTTAGACAAACATATTAATGCCCTATTAGGCTCTCTGCCTTTTAAAGATTACCATTTACCTCTTTAGACTATTGTCTCCTTAATGAAAGGAAAACAAAATATGTTTAAACATCTTGTTATACATAATGATGCTATAGTACACACACAGGTAGCCACACATATCCTAAAAGGAGAACTCCTTAAGGTGAGTTCACGAATTCAGAATGATTTAGCCCATCATTGGTACGATGCTTTTACTGGTTGGTCCCCTACTGGATCCCAGATAATGAAATCATTCTTCTATCCTCTTGTTATAATAGTCCTGATTTTATTGTGTATGATTTTATATAACTGCTACCTTACTTGTACAATGAGGAAGAGAATACAGAAATTAATCCATAATGCAGAACAGAAACAATTAGAAATTCTCCTCTCTGCCACTGGAGGGTATCAACCCATCTTTAAAACTGGGCCTTCAGAATTACCACATGGGAATCGAGGTGAAGAAATTAATGAAAGTCCCGCAGGGAGTGACTAGCACCCCTGAAACTATCATGTGGAAGTTTCTCTGTCCTGGGATGATTTTATCAATAATATGAGCAAATTTTTTGCTCAAAGAGGGGAATGTAAGGATATGAAATAGTTAACTCTTTGTTTTATATGCTTTAAAATAATGTTTAAAATAATTATGCTGACCTTGGCAGATGTATTCTATAACATGCTTTGAGAGGCCTCCCTTCTACAGGATGTATGACCTCGCTCGACCTCAGGACGTTCCTGTCCCGTCTTTATTCAAATGCTTATCTTTTAATGTCAGACAAGTATGTACTATTAACTACAAGGAAACGATAAATCTCGCTGCTTGCGTGACAAACTGTATATAAATGCTAGCCCTGAAAATATACTCACTGAGAACTTGTTGAGCACTCTTTTGTGTCTGTGTCTTAATTTGCTAAACAAGAACTCCTGTTAATTGATGTGGTGACCGGAGAATCGAGAATCGAGGGGAGTTGAGTCCAGAACAGCATTAACCCTTTCATATGGTGAATGCAGTGTGTGTTGTAGTTTTAGTGTGTGTATGCAGTGTGTGTTTGTGGTGTGGTTTTAGTGTTTGTATGGTGAATGCAGTGTGTGTTTTGTGGTTTTAGTGTGTGTATGGTGTATGCAGTGTGTGTTTGTGTTGTGGTTTTAGTGTGTGTATGGTGAATGCAGTGTGTGTTTTTGTTGTGTTTTAGTGTGTGTATGGTGAATGCAGTGTGTGTTTGTGTTGTGGTTTTAGTGTGTGTATGGTGTATGCAGTGTGTGTTTGTGTTGTGGTTTTAGTGTATGTATTGTGTATGCAGTGTGTGTTTGTGTTGTGGTTTTAGTGTGTGTATGGTGAATGCAGTGTGTGTTTTATGTTGTGGTTTTAGTGTATGTAAATGTGTAAAATAGGGGGCTGCACAAAGCAGTCTTGGCTGACGTTATTGTTGTCATGCCCTGATGGCGGCCCTGAGTATGGCAGCCTAGGTAAAAGCATATCAACCGTTATGGCATACCATTTTCAAAAGTAGGCAACCCAGAGTATAACAAATGGCATAATTTGAGATGTTTGGTATAACCATTTTAACAGGAATGCTGGGCCCATGTAGCGATTTCTACTTTTATTTTTGTCTTTTTACACAGATGAATTGCATTTTCACTTGCATAAAGCTAGAAAGGGTTATAAAAGTATCTCCAAAAGCCTTGCTGT